AATGTTGTTTGCGTCGGCACAACACTTGTATACAATTTATCCATCAATTCAAACCATCTCTAACAAAGAATCTCAAATTTTTCCGCTCATGTTTTTTTCCGTGATTCGAAAACATGATTGTTTCTGCACTTTTAACATCGGTTGGAATTAACACTGCTTTATGTGTTTTGTTCTTCACACTTTACTCTATCTTGAGAAAACAACCTAGTAACTATAAAGTTTATATACCAAGGTTGTTAGCTGAAGGAGCTTCACGAACAACGCCTTTCAATTTGAAACTGCTTTTACCTTCCCCTGATTGGGTTGCAAAAGCTTGGTCCCTTAACGAAGAACAATTGTTCTCATCATCAGGTTTAGATGCTCTTGTTTTCATGCGTCTTATCACCTTCAGGTGCTTTTGTGTTTTCACTGTAACAAACTATAAGCGCTTATTATATATGAGAAGAAGCAGTTTTTTAGAGTGAGTTGTGTTTTGCAGTTTGAAAATATTTGCTTTTGCGGGGGTTATTGGGATCTTTGTGCTTCTTCCTGTCAATTGTTGGGGGAATCAGCTACAAGATATTGATATTCTTGATTTTGCCGGAAACTCTTTAGATGTGTTTACTATATCAAATGTAAACAGTGGCTCTAACTGGTGAATAATTTCTCTTTTTTTCTCAAGTTTTTTTTTTTGTTTTGCTTTGATTCTACAGTTCTCAGAATTGGAATGTTTTGTTTCAGGTTGTGGGTCCATTTTTTTGCTGTTTATGCTGTGTCTGTATTCACATGCTTCCAACTTCATCATGTAAGTAATCGAGCACTGCCTCATACACGAACACATCGACACCCGTATACAATTGTTGATTAGATCAATACTTATCATTTAAAATTATTTGGATTCTCAGGAATATAAATTCATAGCTTCCAAAAGAATTTCTTATTTTTATTCATCCAAACCTCAGCCGCATCAGTTCACCGTCTTAGTTCACAGTATTCCTACTTCCGTAAGTTGCAGTATCAGTGACAGTGTTGAGAGGTATTTCAAAGAGTTATACCCGTCTACGTATCTCTCACACGTCGTTATTCGCCGTACAAGCAAAATCCAAACTCTCATGGTAAGCATGATTACATTTAAGCACTTTGGTATGATACATTTCTATTTTATTTTGATAATTATGAAACTCATACGCGCCCGTCTTTCTCTTAAATCTAGAGTAAGTCGAAGAATTTGTATAAAAGGGTTGCTCAATTACGTGCAAATCGTAGTCAGCAAAAGTATAAGCATGGTGGTGGTGTCCTTGGACTTTTTGAATCTAAAGATAGTCTTTTAGATCATTATGGAAAGAAGTTGGAGGACATTGAGGAGGATCTAAGATTGAAGCAATCAGAGGCATCATTGATAGCAGAAGTATGTTTCCATTTCTCTGACATTTTTTACCAAATAGATGAGATTTTATAACTATATCAACGCATTGCATTTTGTTAATGTAAATTGTTGTTCAATGTTGAAGGAGGCTCGAGCTGCGTTTGTGTTCTTCAAGACGCGCTACGGTGCTGCATCTGCTTTCCATTTGCAACCATCAATCAATCCAACTCAGTGGATTACTGAGCCAGCTCCGCAACCTCATGATGTTTACTGGCCTTTCTTTTCTGAATCTTTCATGAAACAATGGATTTCTAAGTTGGTGGTTATAGTTGTGTGCATTCTTTTCACAATTTTGTTCCTTATACCAGTTGTAATCGTACAAGGGCTTACCAACTTGAAACAACTCGAAGTTTTGTTTCCGTTTTTGAAAAGTATTCTAGCCGTGTAAGCAAAAATCGCGTTCCACAGAATCAATTAATCAGGTTATGTGATTTTCTCTGTCTAGTCAAACTCATACTAACTTTCTAACTATCTTTCTGCAGAAAATTTGTTACTCAAGTGATTACAGGATACCTTCCAAGTCTTATTCTTCAGATGTCTTTGAAGTTGGTGCCTCCTGTTATGGGCTTTCTTTCCTCCATTCAAGGATACATTTCACATAGCGATATAGAAATGAGCGCATCTAAAAAAGTACAGTGGTTCACAGTATGGAATGTTTTTTTCGCAACTGTATTTTCTGGCTCAGTTTTTCATCAGCTCTATATCATCCTTGATCTGAGGGAAATTACTGGAAAACTAGCCGTTGCAGTCCCGGCACAGGTATACATGATAACATTCAAGTCTAAAACTGTGCATACTAAATGACCAACTAATTATGATACAATCTTCTATTTCCATGTCTTTTTAATGCAATTTATATTGATTTTACTGTAGGCATCGTTTTTCATTACTTACGTTGCCACTACAGGATGGACAAGCGTTTCATCGGAACTATTTCAGATAATTCCTCTCATTTTGAGTTTGATAAAAAGTCCCTTCACAAAACAAGAAAGTGAATTTGAAGCTCCGTCTATGGCTTACCACAGAGATCTTCCAAGGATCCTTTTCTTTGGACTTCTTGGTATTTCATATTTCTTCTTAGCTCCCCTAATTTTACCGTTCCTCCTGATCTATCTCTGTCTCGCATACATCATTTACCGAAACCAGGTCAGATTTCTTTGTATGCTTATCTTGCAGAGTCATTTTATCGACATGAATAATGCATGTGAGATTCGAAGAAACTGCTTTTTACATGGCTTGCACTTATGTGATGATTTTGTATTACGCAGTTCATAAATGTATATACAGCACAATATGAAACTGCAGGGAGATTCTGGCCTATCGTACACGATTCAATGATATTTTCTCTAGTTCTTATGCAACTCATTGCGGTGGGAAGTTTTGCTTTAAAAAAACTTTCTCCAGCTTCGACTTGGACGCTTCCTTTACCAGTACTCACTCTTATCTTTAATTATTACTGTCGAAGACGATTCTTGCCTATATTTACTGCATACTCAGCAGAGGTAAAGTCTTTTGTGACTGATTTTTCTTAAGTTGTTGAATGTCTGCTTCTGCTTTTAAATACCTCGGCGCTGATTTGACTTGTTTGTGTTTGTAGAGTTTGATAAAGAAGGATAGGGAAGACGAAAACGATACCGCAATGACTGAATTTTACAACCAATTGTTATCTGTATATAAAGATCCTGCTTTGTGTCCAATTCAACATTCATCAACTAGTGATAGTCTTGTTAGTCCACTTTTATCTTAAGCCAATACCAAATGATCACAGTATTCTATCCTGTATGTGATGTGAGATTCTTCTATTTGTATATATATTGAGTGTGATAAGTGAGAGTATATTAGTCATAGAGATTAGAGGGCTCAATTGATATGCAACAACTAAGTCATTATTAGGATTTATAATAGTGAAGGATTTGGAATGGTTGAAACTGAAAGTGACAAACAATTTTGATATTGGAAAGCAAACAAGACAAAATTGTGTGATACTGTAACTAGAATTCACAGTTCAATTTTACTACAAGCAATTATATTAATGAAAATGAAATTATAGTTATATGCATTAGTGTATTCTAGTATATGGTCATTGTCATATATCAGCCATTTGGTGTTTTCAGATGCCATTTGGTTTTGCCAAAATGAGAACTTAGCTTTTCTTCTTTTCTTTGTACTTCTAAGACTAAAAATAACGTATATTTCAATATGTTTTAAATTTGTAATACTTGTTTACCAAGAAACATTCAAATGATTTATAATAATGAAACTTGTATTGTAAGAAATACATGGAAATATTGCCAGAACATATAAACCACTATGCATCACAACTTCACAGGTACGAGCTGTAATTACATGAACATTAATCATTCAAGTTTTAGAAATTTGACTTATGTTTGTAACTCCAGAGTTTAATAAAGGATTTGTGATAAACTTTAGTCATTTGATAGCGAAGTAATCAAAACCTATAGTTACAGAAATATCAATAACCTACTATGAAACACGAACATTCCGAATATAATCTTGATACTGACTCGGTGATACTGATAATTTAAAAAAAAATGATTCACAAGTGTTGATGCATGTATTTGATATTGACATAACACTTTTTTTTCAAGAAATGTCAGTGCTACATGTTCACTGACATTTCAAATAAATGAGATGATTTCTATAAATGGACTCTAATGATAGTTTCAAGACTAAACAAACAAAATGTTACCAAATATGTGTGTAAGCCTCATTGTCCTATACCTATTTGGAGGCATCCCAAAGAGGAGAATTAGAGAAACAACAATTAGATACAATAAAGAGAAAAAGTTGACTTTATTATAGGACAAAACTGTCCTTCTAACAATTTTTTTCTTCTAACTATTTTCCAATAAAAATATAACAATCCTTAAATAATATTTATTTATATTTGTCATATTTTTATTAGAAAATAATAAAAATCACATCTAAAAAATTTATATATAAGTTATTCATCATATTTTTATTAAAAAATAATAAGAATCACAATTAAAAAATTGTATCTGAATTTTTTCTTTTTATTATATAAAAGGGTTGAAGGATACGATTAAGCATCAGAATATTTTGGGTTGCCCTTAAATTATCCCCAATTTTACAAATTTAATTAAATGATTTTTATTTTCCTATCTTACTCTATTATTTATTACTTTCTTCTTTTTCTAATTTTTTAAATATCTCTTATCAATATTATTAATAAACGACAATTATATAAATTATTTCAAACCCTACATTTAGGGGCGCCTAAACCATTGAATATTTAAATGACATATGAAAGGTAGGAATAAGTATTCCTACCATTGGCTAATTAGTCTCTTTCCCCATCATAAAGGTTCCTACAAAACAAGTCATAAAAAAAAAAACACAAAAAAATCATAAACAATTTTAAAGAGATTACCATGGCAAAGTTGCAATTTTAAAAAAAAATGGCAAAAGCACATTCATACATGTTGATAAAACTAAGGATAAAATAAAAGAATTGTTTCGAACATACACCAAATTTTAAACACAACAACAGCAACAGAGACAAACAGAGACAAAAGGGACACACAAATGCAAACAAACATATTAAAAATGACACTTAGAATCCACAACGGAGGCGAAGAACAAGTTGCAATGTAGATTCTTTCTGAATATTGTAATCTGCCAAGGTACGACCATCCTCCAACTGCTTGCCTGCAAAAATAAGCCTCTGCTGATCTGGTGGAATACCCTCCTTATCTTGTATTTTTGTCTTCACATTATCAATAGTGTCACAGCTTTCCAGTAAGTGTCTTCCAAGGTAAGTGTCTTCCCAGTAAGTATCTTCACAAATATCTGCATTCCACCACAAAGCCTCAAAACCAAGTGCAGAGTATATTCCTTCTGGATATTATAATCAGCCAGAGTACGACCATCCTCTAATTGCTTACCAACAAAAATTAGCCTCTGCTGGTCTAGACGAATTCCCTCCTTGTCCTAAATTTTGGTCTTCACATTATCAATTGTATCAGAACTTTCAACCTCCAAAGTTATGGTCTTTCCGGTGAGGGTCTTAACAAAAATTTGCATACCCCCACGAAGTCTCAAAACCAAATGAAGAGTGGATTCCTTCTGGATGTTGTAATCAACAAGAGTCCTTCCAGCTTCAAGTTGTTTCCCTGCAAAGATAAGCCTTTGTTGATTTGGTGGGATACCCTCCTTATCTTGAATCTTAGTTTTCACATTATCAATAGTATCTGAACTCTCAACCTCCAAAGTTATGGTCTTTCCAGTGAGGGTCTTAACTGGAATTTGCATACCCCCACGAAGTCTCAAAACCAAATGAAGAGTGGATTCCTTGTGGATGTTATAATCAGCAAGAGTCTTTCCATCTTCAAGTTGTTTCCCTGCAAAGATAGGCCTTTGTTGATCTGGTGGGATACCCTCCTTATCTTGAATCTTAGAGTTTTTACATTATCAATAGTATCTGAACTCTCAACCTCCAAAGTGATAGTTTTCCCAGTCAAAGTCTTGACAAAAATTTGTATTCCACCTCTCAATCGAAGCACCAAATGAAGGGTAGACTCCTTTTGGATGTTGTAGTCGGTAAGGGTCCTTCCATCTTCAAGTTGTTTCCCTGCAAAAATAAGCCTCTACTGATCAGGAGGGATACCTTCCTAGCTTCTGCTGATCAGGAGGGATACCTTCCTTATCCTGGATCTTGGCCTTGATGTTATCAATTGTATCTGAGGATTCAACCTCAAGGGTGATGGTCTTCCAAGTCAATGTCTTGACAAAGATCTGCATTCCACCTCTCAGCCGGAGCACCAAATGAAGGGTAGATTCCTTCTGTATGTTGTAATCGGCAAGGGTGCGACCATCTTCCAATTGTTTCCCTGCAAAGATAAGCCTTTGTTGATCGGGTGGTATCCCTTCCTTATCTTGGATCTTAGCCTTCACATTGTCTATGGTATTAGAACTCTCCACCTAAAGGGTGATAGTTTTGCTGGTCAATGTTCTCACAAAGATTTGCATCTGTACAAGTAGATATAGTAAAACATGATAAATACCACTACAAATCACAACACAAACGTTTATCAACTGAAATTAGAACAAAATACAACACAAACCCTAATCACAACACAAACCCTTATCAACAAACCCTAATCAACTGAAATTAGAACAAATCACAACACAAACCCTAATCACAACACAAACTTTAATCACAACACAAACCCTAATCACAAAACAAACCCTAATCAACCGATATTAGAACAAATCACAACAGAAACCATAATCAACCAATTATCAGACAAAGTTAGTACAACAGAAAATAGAAAATTAATTTAGAAATTAGGGGAAAAGTTTCACATCTGTGACAGATTGCAATTCAGAAACACGGTCATGTGAAAATACTAATTGATCCAATATCACATTCATAAAAAATTGTTGAAAGAATCACAATATTCAATGAGCAAGAGAATACTCTAAATTGGAGAGGAATAGATAGAAAATGGTGACATACCTTGAATCGAGTTTTCGAAGAAGAAAAAGAGTGTTGAGAATTTTATCGAATAGCGAAATATGAAAAGGGAACGAAGGGGTTGGGAGGAGCTCTTTTATATATAGGTTGTGACGAGTCAATGACAAGAATACCCTTAGACCTACCAATAAGTTTTTGCCACGTGTACTATTAAGCTGGCCAAATATGACAATTTTGGTATTCCTAATGATCTAGGAGATCCTATACCAATCTGTTTATGATTTTAATTTTCTTCGTTGAACTTTTCAATTTATTTAAAAAATATATATTTCTAAAATTTAACAGCATGTTTGGTTTAATTTTGTAAAATTATTTTTTTTTAAATTAAAATAGTTTTAGATGATTTGGTTTTTATTTTTGAAAATTAGGAAGAAAAAAAAATAAGGAAAATGGTATAATTTTATTAATAGTTAATTTGTAAATTGTGAAAATTTAAAATGTAAAAAGAATGTATATGAATCATACTACTTCGTATTAGAAGAGAGAATAAATGGTAGGTGTAAGTGTTTGCTTGTTGGCATTAATTTTTGGTAAAACCAGATTTGCGAATGTCATGACTGATGTCATAACATTCTGGGATAAAGACAAATTCTGCATAAGGAATGTTCTACAAGAACAACTCAGTATGAGTGAATATCATGATGATTAAGCTATGATCATATGTACTGAATTCTACCAAAATCAGTGAGCAGGATACATGATGTCATAACCAATATTAAGACATCCTGTACTGATCAAGTTGTTGTGCAGATTTATTGTTCTTGAGAATTTTCAGGAATCTGGTGTGCTATTCTGAGTTGAAGTATATTGACTAGATCAGATGTTCACGTGGATATTAGGTTAACCTTGCTTAACCCTAATCTGTTATGATGAAAGCCCAAGACCAAGTCTTTAGGTTAACTTTGGTTAACCCTAGCTATTTTTATGGAAGTCCAAAATGAAGAATAGGCTGCATATATATTTCTCAAGAATCCTAATGGTGAGTAGCACTTTTTAGAGAAGATCAATAAGGCATTTTGTAGTTGTGTAAATAATGTGAGTCAAGCAATTATCACTTGATAAGTGACTTGGAGTAGGATTTGGTTGTAAGGGTTCTTTATCACTCAAAGCTTTGAAGCACGAGTGTTGTGTCTCTTGATTAAAGCTTTGAAGCAAAATCAAGCGTGTGTATTGAAGAATGTCTTCATAATCTTATTAATCAGTAGATTAGTATCATTGCTGTGATTGAGGGGGAGTGAGTAAGAACTCAGGTTTAAGTAGGACTTAGATTGAAGTTGCATTGGGTAGGTCTTAAGTGAAGGAGATAAACTGGTTGGTTTATTCCTAAATTAATACCTCTTATAGTGAATTTTCTCCATGGCTTGGTAACCCCCAGATGTAGGTGTTGTTATACACTGAACTGGGTTAACAATTGATTGTGTTCTTTACTGTCTTTTAAATTACTGTTTGGTTTGTGTACAATTTGTCAGATACGGTGTCATAACATTCACTGTGACATTAAGTATTTGTTGCCAGGATTTCAATTGGCATCAGAGCAGGCACCCTGCCTATCTTTCTGGGTGAGATCTAGGGATATTATTTTCTGGCACTATGGACAAGGAAGGAGGATTTGGGAACAGACCACCTATTCTGGATGGATCAAACTATGACTACTGGAAACCTCGTATGATTGCCTTCTTGAAGTCACTGGATAATAAAGCTTGGAGAGCTGCTGACAAAGGATGGAACCATCCCACCATAACTGGGAAAGATGGGACGACTAGTCTGAAACTTGAGGAAGAATGGAGCAAAGAAGAAGAAGAGTTAGCCCTGGGTAACTCTAAATCATTGAATGCCTTTTTCAATGGAATTGATAGAAACATATTCAGACTAGTACATCAATGTGAACTGGCCAAGGATGTTTGGGACACTCTCAAAACCACCCATGAGGGTACATCCAAGGTAAAAATGTCAAGACTCCAGATGCTCACTACCAAATTTGAGAATCTAAGGATGAAGAAAGATGAGACCATTCATGAGTTTCACACTAACATCTTGGAAATTGCCAACACCTCAGGAGCATTGGGAGAAAAGATGTCAGAAGAAAAGCTGGTGAGAAAGATTCTCAGATCCTTGCCTAAAAGGTTTGCAATGAAAGTGACTACTATAGAGGAAGCTCAGGATATCTGTAACTTGAAGGTTGATGAACTCATTGGGTCACTTCAGACATTTGAGATGGGGATCAGTGACAATGTTGACAAGAAAAACAAGAGCATAGCCCTTGTATCCAATACTGAAGATGAAAGCAAGGAGAGTGATGAAGAGAATATATCAGAAGCTATAGTTATGATTGGAAGGCAGTTCAACAAACTCATCAAGAGAATGGACCCAAAGTCAAGGTCAAATGTCAAGAACATTTCCTCTGACATTAGCAGATCCTATGACTCCAGCAGAAGAACTAAGTCTGAAGAAAAGGGAAATCAAAGCAGAGGAATCCAATGCCATGGATGTGAAGGATATGGGCACATTCGAGCTGAATGTCCTACCTTTCTAAAGAAACAAAAGAAAGGAATGTTTGTTACTAGGTCTGATGGTGACTCAGAAAGTGACTCTGAAGAAGAATCTGCTAAACTAGTTACTGCACTATCTGGTGTTTGTAACTCTGATAATGATTCTAGTGATGAGGAAGTGACATTTGAAGAACTTGCTGACTCCTACAAGAAGCTATGTATCAAACGTGCTGAAGTTATCAGCAAAATGAGAAACAGAAAAAGCTCATAGTGGAGTTGGAGGCTGAGAAGAAGGCAGACACTGCTACTATAAGCCATCTCAAAGGTGAAGTTCTAATGTTGAACTCCAAACTTGATCAGATGACTAAGTCTGTCAAGATGTTAACAACTGGAACTGACAAGTTGGAAGAAATCCTTCAGGCTGGACAAAATGCAGGAAACATGTCTGGTCTAGGATTTGTGGCTGCAAAGAAATCTGCTGTTGACAAGAAGAAGACCAGGCCTGATAAACAAATGTCAAAGCAGATGTCACAACATAGGACTCAACATCAAGAACAAAGAAATATGAAGAAAAAGTATCAAAGATGGAGATGTCATTATTGTGGGAGGTTTGGTCACATAAAGTTATTCTACTTCAGATTATATGGATATCCTAATCAGACCCCATATGTCAAACCTAAGACTAACAAGGCACCATATACTCAACAGTGGAAGAAAAAGACTGCAGCCCTGATAGCTCACACCTCCCTTAGAGTTTATGCCAAGGAAGACTGGTACTTTAACAGTGGATGCTCTAAACACATGACTGGAATCAAGAATCTGCTGAATGATGTCAAACCTCATACTACTAGTTATGTCACTTTTGGAGATGGTGCTAGAGGAGAAATCAAAGGAGTTGGAAACTTGGACTGCCCTGGAGTTCCAAACCTAAATGAAGTGTTGCTGGTAAATGGTTTGACTGCTAATCTCATAAGTATCAGTCAATTATGTGATCTAGGATTCAAGGTCAACTTCACTAAGTCTGAATGTCTTGTAACTAATGAAAAACAAGAAGTTGTAATGAGAGGAGTCAGATCAAAAGACAACTGTTACTTATGGGAGTCTGAGAACACTAACTACTCTTCTGTGTGCTCTATAGCCAAAGAAGAAAAGGAAGTGAAATCGTGGCACCAAAAACTTGGTCATTTACATCTTAGAGGGATGAAAAAGATCATATCCATGGAGGCTGTCAGAGGGATTCCAAGGCTTCAGATTGATGAAGGGAGAGTCTGTAGTGAATGTCAGGTTGGAAAGCAAACTAGAATGTCACATCCAAAGACAAGACATTTGACCACATCTAAGGTGCTAGAACTTATACATATGGATCTGATGGGTCCCATGCAGGTGAAAAGTCTTGGTGGAAAGAGATATGCATGTGCTGTTGTGGATGATTTTTCCAGATTCACCTGGATAAACTTCATTAGGGAAAAGTATGATGTATTTGATGTATTTAAGGAATTGTGCAAAAGAATTCAAAGAGAAAAAGAAGGATGCATTGTCAGAATCAGAAGTGATCATGGTAAGGAATTTGAAAATAATAAGTTTGATGAGTTCTGTTCCTCAGAAGGAATCAATCATGAGTTCTCTTCACCTATAACTCCTCAACAAAATGGAGTTGTGGAAAGGAAAAACAGGACTATAAAGGAATCTGCCAGAGCAATGATACATGCCAAGAAGCTTCCTATTCATTTTTGGGCTGAAGCTATGAATACAGCCTGTTATGTCCACAACAGAGTCACCTTGAGAAAGGGAACATCATCCACCCTTTATGAACTATGGAAAGGAAGAAAGCCTACAGTGAAGTACTTCCGTGTCTTTGGGAGCAAATGCTATATTCTGACAGATCGTGAACAAAGGAGAAAGATGGACCCTAAAAGTGATGAAGGAATATTCCTAGGATACTCTACCAACAACAGAGCATATAAAGTGTTCAATTCTAGGACCAAAGTTATGATGGAGTCTAT